TTGGAAGAAAAGTTATGACCAACCTAGACACCATGTTAAAAAGCAGAGACATTACTTTGCCAACAAAGGTCCATCTAGTCGAAGCTATGGTTTTCCCAGTAGTCATGTATGGATGTTAGAGTTGGACCATAAAGAAAGCTGAGCACTGAAGAATTGATGCTTCTGAACTGTGGTGTTGGAGAAGACTCTTGAGAGTCCCTTGGACTAAAGGGTGGTCAAACCAGTCCATCCTAAAGGAACTCAGTCCTGAATATTCATTGGAAGGACTGATGCTGAAGTTTTAATACTTTGACCACCTGATGCCAAGAACTGACTCATTGGAAAAGACCCTTATACTGGGAAAGATTGAAGGCAGGAAGAGAGGGTGATAACAGAGGATGAGATGGTTTGAATTCATCACGGACTCGATGGACTTGGGTTTGGGCAAACAACAGGAGATGGTGATGGACTAGAAAGCCTGGCATGCTATAGTCCATGGGGTCGCAAAGAGTGGGTCCATGGGGTTGCAAAGAGTAGGTCCGTGGGCTTGCAAAAAGTCAGTCCAGGGGGTCACAAAGAGTTGGACACAACTGAGCAGCTGAGCTGAACTAAAACTGACTTGACAGTCTCCCTGAGACACAAAGAAAATGCTACAAGAATTCCTGCTGCAACTATCAAGTTTTCATTGCTGTTTTAAATTCTTCCTTTTTTTAAGTAATCAGGAAGGATATTTATTGGTGATAGCTGCGCCAAATTTGGTGGCATCATATTTTCTCTAAATGTAGCCATTCAGAGAAAATTCAGTGAAGATTTATTGAATAGTAATTCTGTGTAAGACATTGCAGCATATGCAGCTTAGTTTCTTATTAGATTATTTTTTCCAAAGCTCATAAACATGTGTGGATAGTGTTCCTTCTCTTTTCTTTATTTTCTTAAGCCTTGTTTTTAGTTAACACATATTCTTGTTTAAATGTCTTTTGTTTGGATTTATCACTGGAATAAAATAGCAAATGTTTTGAATATGACAGTAACTTGTTGAACTAAGAAATGAATTGAGTCATAAGGCCCTGTTTGTTTTTGCCTTTCTCTACTTCCTCCCAAATGTCATCACAAGTTTGCAATCTGCCCTACTATGGTATTTTTCATCGTTGATTTCCTGCTCACATTGAATCCATATCAGGGGCAATGAAGAAATGTGACTTCATTACCCAGGATGTGCAGGAGACCTGTTAGGTCTTGGTGTTCAGGTTTAATTGCATAATACCCAGTTATCCATTCTTGTCTCCTTGTTTTCGGCTGAAGGCAGTGTGTCTGATTTAGCACATTAGACTATAATGATACCAAGCCTGCCTATGAGAAGAATTTTTCTATAACTGTTTCCTCAGTTTTGATCTACTGTGTAACTGTTGTACCATTCATAAGCCACAGAGATGAAACTACATCTCTGTGGAATTGAAAAGGTCAGTTGAAACTAGCAGTCAGTTTGCTTCATGAAGTCCAGCAGCAAATCCTGTCTGCTGATATTTGGCGAGACAAACAAGCCAGAAGGGGTCATTTTAAAATAGAACAGGTTCTCTGTGCACTGACTCTCCCATCACTGTCCTCTAAACGGCCTCTTGCCAAAACAACTGAGTGTGGCTTTTTCTCTTCAAAGCTACCTGCAGTGACACAGCAGGCCGGGGGGGAGGTCAAAGGTGCTGCTCCATCCCGCCCCAACTTGTAATATGCAGTCTGCAAGTGCACAGTGAACCCAGGACCTATGTCACCATGTTAGAGGGAGAGAAATAGCAGAAACTTCTCTTGGGAGGTTTGAACACTGAAGGAACTTCGGGCATCCACAAAGGACTAATGGGGTGCAATTGAGGCAAAAGGCTCAAGCCAACTTTATGGACTGAACATTGTGTCCCCCCAGAATTCATATGTTGATGCCCTAATTCTTTATATAGTATTGTAAGTGGGCTTTGAGAGTATAAGATCATGGAGGTGGAGCCCTCATGAGTGGAATTAGTGCCCTTATAAGAAGAGACAAGGGAGATGATCTCTCAGCCATGTGAGGACACAGTGAGAAGACAGCCATCTACAAACCGAGAAATAGGCTCACTCCAGACACCGGATGTGCTGGCACCTTGATCTTGGCCTGGCCAGCCTCCAGAACTTTTACATCAATGGCTGCTGATTTAAACCACCCAGTCTGTGATATTATTACAGCAGCCTGAACTAACCAAGACATCATGGTCACTGGTCACCCTAGCACCCTCAGAAAGCCTGGTAGAGGAAAGACTATGCTGGGCAAAGGATCAGGAACAGAGAAAAACATGGAATCAGGGGGATTTACCTTAAATTTGAACAAGGAGAAAAAGCAAATCAAAACAAAGAGGTCTGGGAAAAATAAGCTAGAGTTGTTGGAGGAGACAGGGAGTGAGAGGGAGCTTGTATGAGGCCCTAAGGTTTCCGGTCCCCTCCTACTGATATTAAAGGACCCCCTTTCCAAGATACGCAANCTGGGAAAAATAAGCTAGAGTTGTTGGAGGAGACAGGGAGTGAGAGGGAGCTTGTATGAGGCCCTAAGGTTTCCGGTCCCCTCCTACTGATATTAAAGGACCCCCTTTCCAAGATACGCAAGGAATAATGTGGATCCCAGAGTCAGAAGGAGAAGACTTCAGTATGAACAGAAACTTCCAGTTCAAGATTCATTTCTGATGCTTTCTCCAGTTGAAAAATGGAATTTTATCTAACAGAGTGAAAGGTGCTTCTAAATCACCTCTTCCAGTGTTATCAGGAAAATTTATAGAAAACAGTTATGAGCATTTCTGATATAGCAAGGTGAGTATATTTGCAAATTGGGTGTTTTAAGCATGAAAAAAATATTATGTAAGGAAAACATGTTTTATTCATTATAATGGTGCATGGATTCTTCCATAAGATACCACTAACTTTTTAAACTTTTTGTTTTATGATGCTGTGGAAACTTCAGTAGTAGTAGTTCTATTCAGAGGCATGGCTTATATAGGGTTTTTTTTTTAACCAGATAACAAGGAAGTAAGACAATCTAACCTGTATTTTATGGCTTAGCATAGGATCATTTCTAGTGTGATAGATAGATGCATACATACATAGACAATTCTATACCTGTATCTTCATCTATATTAATCCCTGTAGAGATTTAGATAAATCATTGTTAATGTATGGAAGACCATTGAGATGTGAGTCTATATAATATATAGATATATATTACCTATATTTAGATAGATGGTTGGATAGATGGAGATAATATAAATCCATACATCCATAGATATAAACAGAGAGGATGCTAAATCAGCTGTTAACAATGAATATCAGACCTTTGTTGCTAAAGGTTTACTGTGGTTTGTTTCCTCTGTTTCCTCTTTTTTTTTGCAGAAACCTAACACTATCCTAGAACCTGAATACCAGCCCTTGGCCGTAAAGAACATTTCCACGCTGCCTGTGAATGTGTTGCTCTCAACAGGTGGACCCTTCTTTATCTGCGAGACTGATAAATCCCCACTGCCCTCAACTCCTGAGGTAACTAGACAGAGGATTTCCTAACTCCCAGCAGGGAGTTGTGTGTGTGATAAAGGAAGAGAATAGTATCAGTGCACTGCCAAATTTCAGTCCAGAAAAAAAAATGTAAAAAATCTTGGAAGCAAAGAAGAAAAATCTAAAATGAATCAAATTTCAGTATCAGTTGGTAGGAAAGCTATTATTAATGATGAAAGAACTTCTCACTCACTATTTTGATCCTTCCTTTCCTGCCTGTGATGATGAAACTGATCTTTAGAAAACGGTGACTTCCCAGCAATGAGAGGAAAGATCTTAATGTCCCTCAAATTTGACCAAAACTCAAAGCCCAGGCCCTGAACCAGCCAGCCCATCTCCAGATACTGAGAAATGGGAACAGGGCCACGGGAGGAGGCTGTGAGCTCCCCTGGCCCCCGATCTGGGGCTGGATGCACTGTTCCCTGAACAATCCCACAGGATCATCCATCCTTGGCTAGACGTGAGGACACCAGAGGGAGTGACTGGGCCCTGCAGCAGGGGCTGCTGCAGAGGGAAGAGGACTGAAGGAGAGAGCAGCCCCACACTCCATGGTGTTCAGTCTCTCAGGGGGACAGCTAATGGAGAAATGATAGAGGAGGCAGGAAGGGCAGGCCGAGTGGAGGGCGCCTGTGACTGAAGGATTTGCTATGGAACAGGAGTGGAGATGACTGAGGCATGGAGACATGCTCGGCTAGACGAGTGTTTGTGGGAGATGGGGGATGAGCCTCTGGATGAGAGGGTATTGCAGACAGTACCGCACCGCCGCCCTCCCCTGCCCTTCCTTCCTCACTGATTCTTTAAGGTCTCATTCAAGCATGACTGCTGGGAGGGCGGAAACAGCTAAGGTCTCTGAACAGAAAAATAAAAGGAGAAGATGATTATAAGCAAGAGGCAGATGAAAACCTCCTGCGAGGGAACCTGTGCAAAGAAGAAAAACACAAAGTACAAACAGGGAGTTTTCTACAGTCTCAGAGAAATGACAGACGATATAACCTGTCTTTAAAAAGAGCTCACAGACAAGATACAAGTGTTCAAAGAGGAGACGAAGAACAGAGGAAGACAATTGGATGAGAAAATGAAAATTCAGGCGCGAGCAGTTTTCTCCGTCTTGGGTCAGACCCCATCTTGTCCCTCCTGAAATCTTAATAAGATAAAAGTAGAAATGTTCAGAAGGAAAGCCACCCAGAGCAATAAAATGAAAGGAGAAGATGGTGGGTGTAACCAATTAATGAGAGATTTAAACAAATTCTATAAGATAGAATGAGGAGGGGAGTGGGTAGTCAAAAAGACAAAGACATAAAGCACAGGAAATTCTCCAGTGAGGCAAGGCAGTGTGAGTCCTTCAGCTCAGGTATCCCGGGTGAGAGGCACCGGCTGTGAACACAAGGGGCCCTGGGTGCGCCAGCCCGCTGTCCTGACCAACTCCACTCAGAAGACATGAGCAGCAGGCTTTCATCCCAAGATGTAAAGTAAATGCTCTTCCGCAGAGAAACTCATCAAAATGTTCCAGGAATTTAATGTGTCCTGTGTCAGTGTCGATACCTCAGAATAATCCCTGGTATCTGAGTTGTGTGCAACGCCTGATCATCCCCTCTCTGACCAAAAAAGCTCTTCCATAGACCCACCCTGCTACCGGAATTGAGAAATGGTGTCCTCGGGACTGTTGGAACGGCAGAGTGGGTCAGGAACTACTGTTTCTTGTAATAAATCATTTAGTACAGTTTGACCTTTTATATTACTTGCACATGTAACTTTTAATAAAACATACATATAATTTTTAAAATAACTTCTACAAATCAACAGGAAAAGTACCAACAACCCAGTAGAAAAACAGGCAAAATAAATGAACAGAGTTTACAAAAAGAAAAAAGCTCTTAAATATATGAAAGTATGTCCCACTTCACTCATGTTAGAAGCAATGCAAGTTAAAATCACTATGAAACAACACTTTTTTCCTGTCAGACTGGTAAAGAGCAAAAATTGGATAATTCTCTATGTTGGGGGGCATGTAGAAACAGGCACTGTGTTGGGGAAGTATACAGTGGAAGACAGAATAGCTCTCACTATCAATATTTTAAATGCCCATACCCTCTGACCTCGTCATTCTACTCCTAGGAATTTATCCTACAGACATAGACACAATATAAGAGATAACATGTATCAGTTCAGTTCAGTTCAGCCGCTCAGTCGTGTCCTACTCTTTGTGACCCCATGGACGGCAGCATGCCAGACCTCCCTGTCCATCGCCAACTCCCGGAGTTTACTCAGACTCATGTCCATCGAGTTGGTGATGACGTCCAGCCATCTCATCCTCTGTTGTCCCCTCCTCCTCCTGCCCCCAATCCCTCCCAGCATCAGGGTCTTTTCCAATGAGTCAACTCTTTGCATGAGGTGGCCAAAGTACTGGAGTTTCAGCTTCAGCATCAGTCCTTCCAATGAACACCCAGGACTGAT